TTATTTTTACTGTCTTTCAAGAGATCTGTCAACAGCATCACAATAACTGAGTACTTTTATATAAATCTCTGATAGAAGTTTGCAAAACTCAGAAATACTTGAATATTATAAAAACTTCATGACAGAGACCACTTTATAATTATCTGTACTTACTTTGGGTTCATCTTAATATCTTTATTATTAATAATATATCTGAGATATGAGATTATTCATCTTCTGAAAGTACACTTAGCAAGCTTTGCAAACAACTGGTATTCTCTTAGATACTTCATAACTAGTCTAATGTGTTTCTTGTGCTCTTTCTCTGAGACAGAGAAGATAAGAATATTATCTAGATAAACTACACAACATACATCAATCAGGCCTGCCAGTGCCTTATTAATATAGAACTAGAAGATCACTGGTGTATTTAATAATCTGAAAGACATGACAAGATACTCAAAACTCCCAAACTTTATACAAAATATGGTCTTTTATTTGTCTTCTTCTTTGATTCTAATCCAGTGGTAGATATTATATAGATTTATCTTGGAAAAGTAGTATACTTCTGCCAACCAGCTTAATATCTTATCTATCAACAGCAAAGTGTAATAATTCTTCACTGTGATTGCATTAAGATTATAATAATCAATATAGAGTCTGAGTCCTCCATCAGTCTTGAATACAAACAATACTGAAATCTCTGCTGAACTTTATAACAAATATATTCAACTCTTGCATAACTTGTTCTTGATGTACTCTTATAGAATCTCTGTCTGCTTGAGCAATAATTTATAGATTAGTATATATAAAGGCTTACAGCTGTCTTTAAGAATAATTAAGTGACTGATCTTCATCAATTCTGGCAACTCTGCTACTTTTTCTTCTAAGAAAATATCTTTATAGTCTTTCAATCACTCAGGCACTTCTGTCAGAACTTGATTGTTATCTGATATAAAAATAGCATAAGAGAGTTTGTTCTTAATATACACTGCTTAAAGAAATCTATCTGTATTCAGAAGTTTCACTATTTTCTCTGAGAGTCAGTAATACTGTATCTTGTTCTTCCAGTCTATATTCAGATTGAAATCTTCTAACTACAGCATGCCTAGAACTATATTTATGTTGACTATATTAATCACCACAAATATATATCTTATCATTTTTATAATTCCCATAAAGTCTGTTATAGTAAGTTGGGTCTTGTAGATGCTGTACCAATCAGTCTCAGCTCTGTTTAATATCTTAATAACTTTCATAGGCATCTCTGGTTGGTCCCAGTCTAATTGGGATACTAGTTTGTAGAAGATACTGTCTACTGTGGTACCTGAGTCCAACAGTGCAGCTTGCTCTGTAATACTATCTGATAATATAGTTAGTATGGCTGACAGACACATACTGCACCTGCTTGCCTTCTCTATTAAGTTAATACTCTGTCTTTTTAATATTTGATCTGGATCTTGCATGATCTTTGTAGCTCTAGTCTTTACTCAGTTTTTGTTCTTTTTGTCTATTTGCTGGAACTTGTTGGAGCTGTTCATACAGAACTTTGCTCTATGGCCTGATTAGCCATATCTTAGACAGAGCTCTTTATCTATTTATTGTTTGTGTTTCTCTTCTGATATTTTTGAAAGTGGTTTCACCAGCATTTTCTTTATTTATGAATAATCTTTTTTGTTGTCTTGTTGGAATGTATCTTTTTCTTAAGAGATTAAGATTTTTCATTTCTTCTTATTTTAGTTCTTGTTCCACTGACTTTACTTCTTCTTTTCTAGAATGAACTCAATAAGCATTGCTTGTTCTTGTAATTCTGCAACTGTTTTTGATTAATATTGTAGTTTATCCAGTTCAGCCTAAATGATTGATCTGAGCTTTGTCTGTAGAAAGAGTATACAAAAGAATTCATCTGGTAGACTGTTCAGATTCTGTTTGAGTTTGGCAATATATGTGAAAAACAAGAGTATGGATTGGTTCTCTTGTTGGACAGTGTCATGATAATACTGCATTGTGTCTTGACTATAAGCTATTGTTAGAAAAGGACCTGACATAGGCTTTGTAGATTGTTCTAGGTTTGGAATACTGTTACAAATGTAGATCTAGACCAATCAAGCATCAGACAATGTCAGATGTTCAGAGGTATTCATGTGACCCCAACTCTGAATGTATAAGAATCACATAATTTGCATGAATTGTGGAAACCCCAGTATTTAGTCTTCTAGTTAGAGAACTCCTATATTCTATACATGACTTCCTCCCATCAGTTGTGAATATTATATCTACTTAGCTCTTTTGTACCCCTAATTCTGGAAAAATCTATATAATTTATAACCAGTTCTCCTAACATTCTGAATACTCTGACATATGATTGCCTAAGTCAGTATAATACTACCAAGACTCATAAGACAAATTATAACAACATCCCATATTGTGAATCTGACAAAGATAGACATTAATATGGAGAAGATAAACATTAATGAAGATGCTGGTAGCAGTGAAGCTACCACCAGCAAGACCCTAGCAGATGATATAGACAATAAAGATACACCTCTTAATACATTGAATAAAATCTGAAGAGAGAAGATTTTTAAAGAAAAGAAGATATATCTGTAAAAGAATCTAGCAGACATATGTAAACAAAATAAGATATGCAGGCTGCAGAAGCAGATAGAATATAAACAGAGAATAATAAATAATGATTTCTCTTTAGAGTTCTTCTTATGTACATGACTGATAGAGAAGTCAGATAATTTTGATGATGTAAAGTCTTCAAAAGCATCTTACTATTATGGCAAATCACTTAATGAGTGCAAATTATAATTAGCTTTAATGAGACAGCAGTTTCACCTGAGAAAATCATTATGAAAAGCACTAGATGTGGTCAGAATTGATTGAGTGTCCAGTCATTTTTATAATAAATTCCAGATGCATTAACAGATGTTGGAAATAGAGAGAGAATAACTATCCATATCATGAAACAAATTCAAGATATAGTGTAAGAATAATATTGAACTCAAGATAACTTATAGTTAAGGTATGATGTAGTATTATCATGATACTGTCCAATAAGAGAACTAATCTATACTCTTGTTTTTTATGTACATTGCTGAACTCAAACAGAATCTGGACAGTTTATCAGATAAATTCTTTTGCATACTTTTTCTATAGATGAAGCTCAGATCAATCATCTGAACTAAACTAAATAAACTACAACACCAATCAAAAATAATTATGGAATTATGAGAACAAGTGATGCTTATTAAGTCCATTCTAGAAAAGAAGAAGCAAAGTCAGTGGAACAAGAACTAAAATAAGAAGAAATAAAAAATCTCAATCTCTTAAGAAAAAAATATATTCCAACAAGACAACAAAGAAGATTATTCATAAATGAAGAAGATACTAGTGAAACCACTTTCAAAAATATCAGAAGAAAAACACAAACAATGAATAAATAAAGAACTCTATCTAAGATATAACCAACCAGACCATAGAGTAAAGTTCTGTATAAATGGCTTTAACAAGTTCCAGCAGACAGATAAAAAAAATAAGAATTGAATAAAGACTAGAACTGCAAAGCCCATACAAGACCCAGGTCAAATATTAGAAAAATGAGATGTTAACTTAATAAAGAAGGCAAGCAGGTACAGTATGTATCTGTTGACTATACTGACTACACTATCAGATAATCTTACAGAGCAAGCTGCACTGTTGAACTCAGGTACCACAGTGAACAGTATCTCTTATGAACTAGCATCTCAATTAAACTGAGATCAACCAGAGATGCTTATGAAAGTCATTAAGATATTGAATAGAGCTGAGACTGATTAATATGGCATTTACAAGATCTAACTCACTATAATAGACTTCATGAAGACCACAAAGATGGTAAGATATATGTTTGTGATGATTAACATAATCAACATAAATATAGTTCTAGACATGCTGTAGTTAGAAGATTTCAACTCAGATATAGACTAGAAGAACAAGATATGATATTACTAACTCTTAAAGAAAATAGTGGAACTTCTGAATACAGATAGATTTCTCTAAGTGGTATGTATCAGAAATGAACTCTCTTATACTATTTTTGTGTTAGATGACAATCAAGTTCTGACAGAAGTATCTAAGTAATTAAGAAACTATAAAGATGTTTTCTCAGAAGATAAAGCAGCTGAGTTACTGAAATTAATGAGGATTAGTTATTTAATTATTCTTAAAAATGGCTGCAAGCCCTTGTACATACCAATCTATAGACTATTACTTAAGCAGACAGAGATTCTATAAGAGTATATTAAGAACAAGTTATACAAGAGTTAAATATATCTGTTATAAAGTCTGGCAGAGACTCCAGTATTATTTACACCCAAGACTAATAGAGAACTCAGACTCTGTATTAATTATTGTGATCTTAACACAACCACAGTGAAGAACTATTACCCATTGCCATTGATAGACAAGATATTAAGCTGGTTGGCAGAAGCACACTACTTTTCCAAGATAGATCTACATAATATCTACCACCAGATTAGAATCAAAAAAGAAGCTAAATAGAAGATTATGTTTTGTATAAAGTTTGGAAGTTTTGAGTATCTTATCATGTCTAGGCTGGTATTCAGGACCAGGACAGGATCCCTTTTCTCATTGAAGCTGGTCCTGGTCCTGAATTTAGAAACAGCCAGGATTCCAAACATGAAATCTCAGTCCCATGTCCCATCCCACTCAAGAGCTTGAGATTCTATTCCTATTACTATCCCATAAATTATTTTCTGGTCCCATTCTCAAATAGAAAATTATGTCTCATGTCCCATCCCAGCCAGGTCTATAGTGGGACCAGGATGGGATCAGATTTCCCAGCCCCATTGTATCAAGAGTCAAACTGGTCAAATTTTGCGTGGACTATTACCAAATTTTGTTACTTTTTTAATGAAGGCAGAACTCTTAGAAAAATCAATTTCATTGTTAAAGAAAAAAACAAAGTATTAAAATTAAGTAATGGCCAAAGCCAGCAAACAATCAGAAACTGTCTAAATGGCAAGTTCATCATTCTTATCATCATCATCATCCTCATCATCAGCATCATCCTCATCATCATTATCATTCTCATTATTGTCATCATTCTCTTTCTCTTCCTCCTTCTCCCTCTCCTTCTTCTTCTTTCTCTCCTTCTCCTCCTCCTTCTTCTTCTTCTCCTCCTCCTTCTTCTTCTTCTCCTCCTCCTGCTCCTCTAGAACCAGCTTTGTGAACTGGACAGGGGCTCTAATACCCACTATTTGACAGGCAGAGACCCTGTCAGCACCAGGGGGAGGCAGAGAGGCAGTAGTGGGCAGTGACAGTGGTGGTGGAGCAGCAGCAGGAGTAGTTGGTGAGGCGGGGGCAGAACATAGACAGCAGATAATGGCAGCAGGGGCAGGAGCAGGGTGATCAGGCACATCAATCAGGCCAAAATAGTTTAACCCAGTCATGGTACTGATGCCAAGAACAAGCTTCATATTGTCAGCATTGACCATAATGTGCTTATAGTGCGCCATTGCCATAACAGAGCCTATATTACTCAGTATAATTGTTGGTGCTATTGCTAATGGTGACTTACATTCAAACAGAGTGCACAAGATTGCTTCAGCAGCCTTCTGAAGTAACTCAATAGCAGTACATTGCCAGCAATATTCATGTTCTTGGTGACAAGACAAAGTAATTTCCCAAACCAATTACTGGAACAGGGCCACCAGGAGAATTAGCTCTGTAGAGCTCTGGAAGTGGCAGATTTCTTTAATGGCACCTATTTCACCAATTAGCATCAAGACCATTACCAAATTTTGTTACTTTTCCAAAGTTGAATAAATTGATAAAATTATGTTAGGACCATTACCAAATTTTGTTATCTTTTGACAACACAAATGGGACCAGGATTCCCAGTCCCATTCTACACTTTACTGGTCCCATCCCATATACAATATTGAAATCCTGGTCCTATCCCATTTTGTCATGGCCAGGTCCCAGGCCCATCCTATTAGCTAGATTTTGATCCTGGTCCCAATTCCATCCCAATCCCAGCTCCCATGGAACCATCCCAATATGCTGTTAAACAACCCAGTCCCATCCTGTTGAGCTGAGCTTCAACCTAATCCTGTCCTTGGGACGGGAATTGGGACAGGAATTTGGGACTGGGACAGGAAATCCCAGAACTAGATACCACTCTAATCATGTCTTTTAAGTTATCAAACACATTAGCAATCTTTCAGTCCTATATCAATAGAGCCCTGGCAGGCCTGGTTGACATATGCTGTGTAGTTTATCTAGATAATATTCTTATCTTCTCTGCCTTAGAGAGAGAGCACAAGAAACACATTAGACTAGTTATGGAGTGTCTAAGAAAATACCAGTTGTTTACAAAGCTTGCTAAGTGTACTTTTCAAAGACAAACAATCTCATATCTTGAATATATCATTAATAACAAAGATATTAAGATGGACCTAAAGCAGATACAGATGATTATAAAGTGACTCTTGCCATGAAGTTTCTATAATATTCAGATATTTCTGGATTTTGTAAACTTCTATCAGAGATTTATAAAAAAGTACTTAGTTATTGTGGTGCTGTTGACAGATCTCTTAAAAGACAGTAAAAATAGATAAAAGAAGAGATTATTTCTTCTGACATCTGCTGTCAGAGAAGTGTTTTGTATGTTAAAAGTAGTTTTCTTCAGAGAATCTGTCATCTGCCACTATAATCTAGAATAGGCTGGTATTCAGAACCAGGACAGAATCCCATTTTCTATTGAAGCTGGTTCTGGTCCTGAATTTAGAAACAGCTGGGATCCCAAATATGAAATCTCAGTCCCATGTCCCATTCCACTCAAGAGCTTGAGATTCTGTTCCTATCTCTATTCTAGAAATTATTTTCTAGTCCTATCCTCAAATAGAAAATTATGTCCCACATCCCATTCCAGCAGAGATGGTAGACTCCTATTTTCTATCTCAGCTGGGTTCATAGTGGGACTGGGATGGGACCAGAATTCCCAGTTCCATTGTGTTAAATTTATAGGAAAGAGTTAAACTGATCAAATTTTGTGTGAATTGTTACCAAATTTCATTACTTTCTTAATGAAGGCGGAACCTATAGAAAAATTAATTTGATTGTTAAAAGAAACAAAGTATTAAAACTAACTAATAACTGAAGCTAGCAAACAAACAGAAACTATCTAAATAGCAAGTTAATCATCATTATCATCATCTTTATTATTATTATCATTCTTCTTCTCTCTCTTCTTCTTCTTCTTCCACTTCTTCTTCTTCTTCTTCTTCTTCTTCTTCTTCTTCTTCTCCTTCTGCTCCTCTAGAACCAGCTTTGTGAACCAGACAGGGACTCTAATATCTGTTATTTGACAGACAGAGACCCTGACAGCACCAGAGAAAGGCAGAGAGGCAGTAGTAAACAGTAGCAGTGATGGTGAAGCAGCAGCAGCAGTAGTTGATGGGGCAGAGACAGCATACAGATAGTGAGTGGTGGCAGCAGAGGTAGAATAATCAGGCACATCAATCAGACCAAAATAATTTAATCTAATTTTGATATCAATGTCAAGAACAAGCTTTATATCATCAGTATTGACCATAACATACTTACAGTACACTATTGTCATAACAGAGTCTATATTACTCAGTATAATTATTGATATCATTGCTAAGAGTTACTTACACTCAAACAAAGCACACAAGATTGCTTCAGTTATCTTCTGAAGTAACTTAATAACAGTATATTGCCAGCAATATTCATATTCTTGATGACAGAATAAAGTAATTTCTCAAATTAATTACTGGAACAGGGCCACCAGCAAGATTAGCTCAGTAGAGCTCTGAAAGTGGCAGATTTTCTTAATGGTACTTATTTTCACTAATTAGCATCAAGACCATTACTAAAAATTATTACTTTTTGATATACAAGTGCCAGCCTTCTAATTTTAAATGAGAAGGCAGAGGCAGAGATTCTTCTGATCAAAGTTAGCCAGATCAACATCTTTATTAGCTTTACACTAATTGCTCTTCTTCAGAGCCCATTCTTTCAATGCAGTCTTGTGCCACTTCTCTTCAGCTGTGCAAAATGGACATGCACAGGAAAAACTAACATCTTGTCAGTAAACAATATGCACCAGAGCAGTATTCTGCAAGCATTCACCTTTTAATATGACTCATTTTGTCACAGTATATGTTTGTTGTACATGCAGACATTAAAGCACAGTAAATAAAAAGATGATGGAGAGAGGAGTGAAGAGAGAGAGAAAATCATCAACATTAGCCCTGAAGAGAAAGAAGAAGAAGAGAAAGAGAAAAAGAAGAGAAGAAAGACTGATCTGATGTTATTATTCTGTAGCCAGCATAGCAATAACACATTGATCTTGCCTATAGCAACATGTCTGTAGAATATAAACAATGTGTATAGTAATTATTCTACAGTACTTGATTAATACACTCTATAATCTCATTATTCTGTAGCTAGCATAGCAACAACATATTGAGCTTGCCTATAGCAACATGCCTGTAGAATGTAAACAATGTGTATAGTAACTATTCTATACAAGTACTTGATCAATATACTTTATAATCTTATTATTCTGTAGCTAGCAATTCAACTCATCATATATAATTATGAAGATGGGGCCAAAACAATATTCAATAAGAGAGAAGACTCATGCAGCACAAGAGCACTGCCAGATCTTGAAAAACTATTAAAAAGATATATTCAAGACAGAAGAGACAGATCACAAGACATATCATAATATACTGAAGAGAATTCAAGCAAAACATAAGTAGTATACACTCTCAGTAATTTGTATTGAATTATATTGACATTCATTGCAGACAGAATAGCAGCAAAAAGAATCACAAGATAATTAAAGATAAAGTTATTGAAGAGTTGATGATCAAGCAATTTGCTAAGAGCAAGTCAAAGAAGTATTATAAGCACCAGCTTATAATCTCTCAGCAAAAGAAGAGAAAGAAGAAGAAGAAGCATTACTAAGAAGAAATTATAGAGATTAAGAATGAAGCTCAGCAGAAAAAGAAGATAGAATTCAAAAGTAATAAAATCTAGTAACAGTTCTGATATATTTAGATCAAAACAAGCCAGATACAGCATTCTATTGCTGCATATAGAGAGATTCAATTCTGTCAAATAATAGCCAGACTTGAGGCCAAGATCATGGCCCATAATCATAATTATCTTGCTGCAGTTAGTGTGTCAAGAGAGAGGGTTGAGAAGAAAATAAGAGAATTTCTGGACCAATTACAAAATCCAAGTAAAGACAACAACAGCCCACCTATCCCAGAGAAGATGGAGAAAGATGATTTTGAGATTGTGATGTTCTCTGATGAGAATGATGAGAAGAACAATAAGACAGAGAATGATTGAATTATTGATATCTAGAGAAGAAAGTTAGGTTTTTAGTTTTTTTTTTATATTAATTTGAGAATGGAGTGCCATTAAATTGGCAAAATATTTTATTTTCCTGAAGAAGAATGTTCCATTTTGTAGAAAAAGAAGATTTTGTAGTTGGTTGCTGTACTTACAGAGTAAAATGAGACTAACTATCTAGAGATTGTCAAATTTTGCATGAACTCTGACCACATTTTGTTACTTTTTTGACTAAGGCAGAACTTAGAGAAAAATCAATTTGATTATGAAAAAAAAAAAAAAAGAAAAAAAAAGAAAAAAAAAGAAAAACCTAATGACTGAAGCCAGCAAACAAGCAAAATCTACAGAGATTCCTTCAGAATTGATTATAGTTCAACATGGAAAAAAACAATTTGTATTGTAGAAGGAGCTGCATTATAAGTTGTTTGTTACTTGATGATTGACTACTGAAGCTGCTCAGTTGATTAATAATAAGAAGCATGGTGACCCCAACTGAAAGAAAAGCAATGTCATTCTGATTTTTGGTCAAAATTTGATCAGGTGGCAGAGCATTTTAAGAGCACTCCAGAAATGATTTGCAAGCTTTGCCAAACCTTTCTTAGTTATTCAAGCTTTTCTCAAAACAGTACAAGTGGTCTGAAAAAGCATTTAACAAGCAAAAATTGTACAAAAACTGGTGACAGACAGGGTAACACTTTGGTTAACATGATGATAGATCATGGATTCTAATTTCTCAAATATAACAAATTTTAGTAACAGTTCTGGTGTCTTAGCAATAGTTTTCAAAGCATTCTCAAACAGATTCAGATCTGCCCATTTCTGAATGCAATCAAGATAATTTTCTTCAGCAGCTTGTGCAAATATTAATATTCTTGAATCTTTCATTTCATGCTATTGAGAATCCAGCATTCTGCATATTAATAACCATGCTCAATCCTGCAATGGCTTTACAGATACCCACATGAGAAACATTATATCAGATTATGAATAATATATACAATCAGCTATTCCAAAATCTTCTTTTTAATCATAACCTAATAATCAAGATATCTCTGGCAGTAAATAATTGGACAAGTCCCAATAATCTTGTCTTTATAGTAATTAATGATTATTACATTACAAAGAATTAAAAGTACCATGAGCATTTACTGGATTTTGAAAGTTTAGAGAGTGCTTATACTAACAAGAATATAGCAGAGATTCTTCAACAATCACTAGCAGTATAAAGACTTGAGAGCAATCTTCTTGCAATTACAAGTAACAATACATTAAACAATAGTACTATACAAGCACATCTTATACATCAGTTAAGGCCAGTATTGCAGCAGTTGAACAAGACAACTGATTGAAATACAGAGAGTGGAATAATATTCTGTCTTGCTTATATGATTCAACTTGTGGTTCAAGAGCTGGTTTGCAATCTCAAGATTTAGCCAGACAATAATACTCTACTCACTATCTTTAATAAGAGCTTAATTACTGATGATCTAGCATCAACAGACACATTTGCAAATACTCTTAGAAAGATAACAAAATTTGGTAACTGTGAGGATCATACATGTAGATCAGCATGACAATGAATCTCTAGGAGAAATATATATGGAAAAAGAGTATGTGAGGTAAAAGGTCTGTATTCTGGTAACTATGTACAACTTGTAAACAAGATTGCCACTAGCTCTCAGCAAGAGATTCACACAGTGACAGTCTTTTATGTGTGCTTGCAAGCACATGACTTAGTGCCTCACAAGAATACATGCAACTTCCAGCAGCTTGCAAGCTGAGGCCTTTGGCTCTTATGGGTGCTGTTTGTCTGTGTAAGAGGTTTGCAGCAAATTCTTACAGATTCTCCTCTCTTGTAAGTCTTGATTCCTCAAGGCAGCTGTCTCATTAAAAATCTTCATGAGTAGAAAAATAAAAAATCTCTTGGGAAAAATAAAAATTTCCTCATAAGGAAAAGAGTACAGCCTCACTAGAGATATGATATCAACACAACTCTAATAACACAACAGAACCCAATAACACAACAATGTGTAGAGAGTCTCTATTGTTCTTGCTAGCCCTGTGTTACTATTAAATAATGAACACTAGCTTAAGAGAGAGCTTTCTCTTGCTTTCTCTTTCTCTTCTTTTCTTCTCTTTCTTCTCTAGCCTATATCATCTTTACAAAGATAAGTGAACCCTTCAAGCACTACTTCATATGGGAGATAGGCTTGCAGAAGGTCTCTAATGTTCTGGAAGAAAAATAACTTCACTTTAATGTTCTGTATGATTGGCTGAAAGGTCACAAGCTGATGAGTTCACCCCTGATTGTGCCTTTGCTTTGTGTGGCCATTTGGTTTTGTCTTTGCATGGGGTTTGATTTGCAGAGAGACTGATGCTTGCTAGCAGTTGCTGCTGGTGTGCAGTCTTCTCTCCCCTTCTCTTGTGACTTGTCTCTGCTTTTCTTTCTTAGAAGGACCCCCATCTCTTCTTTTGTGGATGAGATTGGGCCTTTGATAAGTAGTTGTGAGAAGTTTGAGAAGTATTTGTAACTGATAGTTTTAGAGTGTTGTTGTTCTCTCTTCTCTCTCTTCATCAGTTATTGCTGCTCTCTCTGTGCCAGCTCAAGCTGTAAGTGCTTCTTGCAAGCTGACATTGATTTGTGTGCTGATGAAGTTAGAGTTCTGCTGCTCTGCCTTCTCTCTCTGTAGTTGTTGCTCTGGCCCTGACTGGAAATATGAGTATTCTCTATCACATTTCAGTTTGTGGCTAATTTTCTTTAGATTGTTGTTGTTGTTTCTCCTGTGCCAGCAGGATTTGTAAATGCTGTAATTCTACAGAATGCTTGGGACTGCCCAGCACCCCCCCTGCAAGACTGACAATGGTGGTTTCAGACCATCTTCACTCAAATGCTGTCAGCTGCTACTTTTGCTGGTGCATTGCAGGCCAATCTGGTGATTCTTTCAAGCCTTCCCCCCCCACACAGGGGCACAAGCTTTGTCTGTCTGTAAAAGAGCATGGTGTCACAAGCTTATTCAAAGACCTGTGCTTATTGCTGGTTTGAATAATTCAAATCAGTTAGCTGTCCACACCCAGCTCTGCAAGGGTATTCTTGTGACTAGAGCTGGAGTCCAGCTGCCACCAGAACAGGAGTGCTCTGCCTGCAAGAGAGCACAGCAGAGCTATAATAATATAGTCTTTGCAGAGTGCATCTCTGTAGACTTGAGTTAAAAATATAACAACTGTCTATACTGTGGGCACCTTGCTTGCTCTTTCCAGCAGTGAGGTTATGGATAGTTGTTACAGGTCTTTGCAGGAGGAGCTGGAGGCTCTAATTACATAGTCTTAGTTTAGTTTTTCTTCTTTTGTTTTGAAATCAATTGAATTCAGTTCAGTTTGACTATGTCTTTTCTCTCTCTAATTCATTTTCTAGTTCCACTACCTCCATTCATCTCTTTTGTGAACCAGGCTTGTCTGAGTTTCTACTATGGAATTGTTGGAGTAGCTTTCTCAGTGGACAGACATTGCTTGCAGGAATCTATGTCTTGTTCTTCTCATCATCATATTCTTCCCAATGTACTCTGTACCACAGCTCACAACCCTCTCTCTTTGAGTTGATTATCTCATGGACCTGGTACTCCTTTTCATTCTTGTCTGTCTCATAAACTTTGTGATGAGGTGAGCTATCAATTCCTTTGTGGATCTTGTGTTTGTGGAGCAGGAATATATGGAAGACATCATGAGTTTGCAGATCTGGAGACAGTTCCAGTCTGTAGACTTGTGAGTCTATCTTCTCTACAAT